TCCCCTTTGTTTTGCTGCCTCCAGCTAGCGCTGTGACCCTAGTTACCTGTGGTTGGCCTGGCCATGCGTCTCTCAGAAAACAACAGGCCAATCAGAAGAGAGGCTCATGAATAATAATTAGACAGGCCATCGACCTGTTCTCAGCAGAGCTGCTGAGAAAGGAGCTGTAAAAATATATCGAGATGGTTTTTGGTTTTTGGCACCGCAAATATATATTCTTAAGGACATCAAAACCTAAAATAAAACTCCAGAAAGGTGTAAAATATGGGACCTTTAAGAGAGCAAAATAACAGAATGTACTGTAAGGTGCAGGAACAACTGAAAAAAAAAAAACACCTGACAATAAAATAAATAAATAAATAACAATGTGGTAAAAAACAAAAAAGATGTTCTTTTAAGCCATTTTTGTGCAAAAACAAATATGGAAAGTTCACCATTGTGAGGCAGAGTGATGCAATGTACAACATAATCTGTACATCACAATGTGCTAATAATGTTCTTACATTGTGAACAGGCATTCAATTTTTTATACACAGCTTGGCTGAAAAATATCCCACAATCACTACATAATTTCTATTAAGATGACAAGCCGAGATTCTCCACAGCTGTCTTTACTGTGGTCAGAATGTTCTAGATGTTATCATCTTCTCTACCATATTTTCTGGAAGTGAACAAAAGGAGTGTGAAGTAGAAGCAGTACTTGCTGAACTTAAGTGCACTTGCAAACTAAGCCTGAATCTAACATCCTGAAAGTAATCAATAAAACCACCCACACACATAACACTACAACATGGATTTCTGCCATAGACTGAATTCTTTTATATATTTTGATCAGAATAAAGGGTTCTGAAAAAAAGTTATATAAGGTATAAGTAAACTGTTGAGCTTACTTGTAAGTTAATTAAACTCCACTGACAGTGGAGCATTGCTTGGGATTCACCATGCAGGCTGAATGCGAACCTGTATCTTGCATTGTCACCATGGCACAATGTGTCTGGAACACATTCTAAATCTTGCTTTAACATACACACACACACACACACACACACACACACACACACACACAAACACACACACACACACACACACTTGCCGGCAGCCAAGGGTGGTCTGCAGCAGGGTGGTGATGCCCACACAAAAGAAAATGGTGCCAATCAGCTGACTGGTTGCCCATTGGTCAAATCCCACACACATGGCTTCAGCAAGCAGGAAGGGCACAGCAATAGTTCCACTGAAGCAGGTAAGATAGTGCTGAGGAAGAATGGTGTGGAAAGAAAAAATACCAGTATTTTTATCTCTGTTATCTCTGTAAAGGAGAACATCAAATCGCTAGTCTGCTTCAATGTCAAGGGTCACTGCTGTAAATTATAGGGCCATTGCTTCAAGTTGAGTGTCAGTGCTTTGAAACAGTCACCCTCAACTTTCAGCAGTGAAACTAGACTTTAAAATCTAGGGTCTCTGCTATAAAGTCCAAGGTCACTTCAATAAAGTTGAGGCTCATTGCTTTAAAATCCAAAATTAACTGCTGTGAAGTTGAGGGTCACTGCTGTAAGACTGAATGTTACTGCTCTAAAGTTAAGCACCCTGCTTCCAAAGTCAAGGTTTCACTGCTGTAAAGTTAATGGTCACTGTTTCAAACTTGATGGTCAATGCTGTAAAGATGAGTGTCACTGCTGTAAAGTTGAGGGTCATTGATGTAAAGTTGAGTGTTACTGTTTCCAAGCCAGAGTTCACAGTAGTGAAAGTTGAGGGCCAGTGTTTTAAAGTCGAGGGTCACTACTTCAAAGTTTAGTTTCACTGCTGTAAAGTCTAGATTTCTAAGTCTAGGATTCATTGATTTAAAGTCAAGGGTCACTGCTGTAAAGTTGAGTGTTACTGCTTCCAAGTCAAGGTTTCACTGCTGTAAAGTTAAGGGCCACTGCTTCAAGCTTGATGGTCAATGCCGTAAAGACGAGTGTCACTTCTGTAAAGTTGAATGTCATTGCTGTAAAGTTGAGTGTTACTGCTTCCAAGTCAAGGTTTCACTGCTGTAAAGTTAAGGGCCACTGCTTCATACTCGATGTTCAATGCTGTAAAGATAAGTGTCACTACTGTAAAGTTGAGGGTCACTGCTGTAAAGTTTAGTTTCACTGCTGAAAGTTTAGAGTCAGCGATTTGAATTCATTGCTGTAAAGTTGGAGGCCACTGCTTCAAACTCAGTGGCCACTTGTTCTAACTCAGAGGTCACTGCTGTAAAGATGAGGGTTACTGCTTCAAACTCGAGCGTTGCTTCTGTAAATTCTAGATCTAGTCACTGCTATAAACCCTTAGTTGAGTCATTGTTGGTATATGAATATCTTAAACATCTGGGGCACATCACACTACACTTGAATGCTCAAGCCAGTATGTCAACATGTGGCTGTGCATGTGTTTGTACCTGTAAACCTAGGAACACACACAGGTACCAAGGTGGTGTGTCCTCTATGGTGTATATCATGTCCATTCTCCTGGCGTCTATGCTGTCTGTACTGTCCACAGTCTCTGATATGGAGCACTGAACGGGAGAGGAAACACAAGACACATGGGATTCAGGCTCTGGGCTGTTCCTATGGTAACCAATCTCTATTACAGAGAAGTTGAGTGAGAGCTATACTCTATAAACAGCATCAGCACACAAACACGCGCACACACACAGCAAAACTGCTGGCAATTCAAACGGCATCAGCAGGCCTATGGTAACCAATCTCTATTACAGAGAAGTTGAGTGAGAGCTATACTCTATAAACAGCATCAGCACACAAACACGCGCACACACACAGCAAAACTGCTGGCAATTCAAACGGCATCTGCAGGAAATCAGTTCCTCTATATGCAATTATCCTGAAATTAACTCAAACTGCTAAATAAGCTCCAAATTGATAGAAGACATTACTATGAGAGTTATTCTGTTACATCTTAAATATGTTGTAATGGAAAATACATACTTGTTTTAACAATTCGACTAATTAAAACAGTGCAAAGATACACTATAGCCATAAAAGTCTTGTCTATGTTTTTCAAAGTTTTATTCTGAGATGCAACAGTTATTTGTTACAACAATTCAACTACCAGTTAAATAATTCTCATTTCTGACAAATATTAGTGAGAACACAGAACCAGAGAGACAGACTAAAAAAATGAATCAAAAAAATGAAAATGTTGCATCAGCATCGCTGTATTAGAGGCGAACACTGAGGAAATTCCACTGGTTGTTGTGACCTCCCAAATCCCATTCCCTCTGTGGGGGAAAAGTGTCGAGTCATAATGACTGAGCCATTACAGAACAGGGCTTAACACGGATAAGCATGACTGGTACGAGCAGCCCCTTGATTTAAAGGTGAAGTATGTAATTTCTAACAGTACTAAAAGAGTTACAAAAAACTCACTTTGTCCTCAGTCTGGCTGTCTTTTGCATAAATGGCCATGAGTTGCGTGTCCTCTGCGTCCTGATCTCCAGGGGTCTGCACGACACCATTAACCACCTGTCAAATACACAGAAATGTGCAAACATCACATATTTACAAGTAACAAAATAAAAAAACTGGTGACACTACTTGCAAACCCGTCTACTGTCATGACAAAGGATAAAATTGAATGCGGGCATCTTGGCAAGAAATCAAACATTATGTAAGTGAGTTTGGCACAGCTTCCAGGAGCTTTGCTTTGGTTCTATTTGCCAAATTCAAATGCCAGGGTTTCAGTGACAAGCGCATAGTTTTACCTTACATCATGATATTACATCCCCTCACTGGCAACACATATCAGTCCACATCAGTCCACTAAAGTTCACCAGGGCTCTCAGAGACAGGGTTATGAGGATACAGTAAGTGACCACACTCGTGTAGGGAAGAGTTCACCAAAACAAGGATTACATGAGGATTAGCTTTAAAGTAGTGGAGTTTTTGGTGGTTTCTAAATACATCATACTAGACGGAAGATTTAGATGGCTGCAAAACGGTCTTTCAAACAACCTCAAACAATTATTATATACAGAAATTACTCAGCAAGGGGACTAGAAAAGAACACGCGTCACTAATAATTCATCATCAATTTAAAAGAATGATATAATACACATAAATGTTACAATAAGTAATTGCATTTAAGGGAGTGTTAGGCATAACTAAGGAAGACTTGAGTCTTGACACAGACAAAGTTACAGAGAGCAGACCATAATGAACTGACTGATAAAGGGTCACTTCTGCGAAAAAAAGACACTTTAAAAAAATAATTTCTAACAGCATGTCTCTAATCTCTTGACATGCTTTGTTTAAATATGCATGCCTAGCAACAAAAACACTATCAAAAATCAGCAGCTGCTTATAGGTTGATCGGTTTGTTTCATCTTTAGAAAAACATTTCCTGCAGTGGTGAGATAATGCAAACATGAGGTACTCACATGTTACAAACACAAACAAACTGTAAATTAAACTAGTAATGTTTTACAATATATTATTTGTTAAAATTGGGTAGAATTATTTAAGCATTTATTAATGGTAATGTTTATAACGTTTACAATGTTAATTTATAAAGAGATTATTCTTTGCTGTTAGTTCATAATAGATTAATGTAATTTTATAATACAACTTGAAATGTTGCCGTATTAAAAATGTATTATGATAAAATGGATAGTTCCAAGGCTCACCAAGCCTGCATTTATTTGACCAAAATACAGTAAAAACAGTAATATTGCATACAACTACAATAAATGTTTTCTATTAGAATTATTTTTCAAATGTAATTTTTTTCCTGTGATGGTAAATCTGATTTTTCAGAAGCCATTACTCCAGTCTATAGTGTCACATGATCCTTCAGAAATCATTCTAATATGCTGCTCAAGAAACATTTCATATTATTATCACTGTTGAAAACAGATGTGCTGCTTACTATTTTTGTGGAAACTGTGACACTTTCTTTAGAATTCTTTGATCAAAAGAACAGCATTTATTTGAAACAGAACAGCATTTATTTATACCATCATAAATGTCTTTCCTCTCACTTTTGATCACTTTAATGTATCCTTGCTGCAATAAACCCTAAACATATGAAAAGTAGTGTATTTACAACCCTACTGTGAAGTGTCACCATTATATTTATGACCTGAGTGTGTATCTTCAAAAGAAACCTTATGCATACCATGACTATAAATAAGTTGTTTGTCATTCCTTGTAGCTTACGGAGACTTGAAACAGAAAATTCTGAAAATCCAGCTTTTAAATGGCACATATTTAAAGTTGCAATTTACACACCACACTGTCCTGCTTAAAGTACACGTGACCACAGTGTCCTGTAGAGTCACTGTAATAACAGGCTAGAAGGCATTGTTTCTGACCCTATGATTAGCAACATTCCACACAGACAAACACACACTCACTGGGATGGGATAGGAGTGTGCACTGTGTTTGTTCTCCTCTTCATATTTGCCAGGCTCTGCGGCGGAGTCCATGGATTTGGAGGTGGTGTTTTTACCAACACCCATTCCTCCCCTTTGCTCCTCTGCCTCTTCCTCCTCCTCTCCCTCTGGATCTGTTCCTCTCCTCCACTCCCTCTCACGCTCTGGTAGAAACACTGCTGCTCTGGCTGTCAGCACATTCTCATGCTCCACTAATTGGCCAGCCAGGTCATCTGGGGTTAGAAAACAGAGCAATGTTATTCATGAATGAATAATGAAATGAAAGTGCTCATCTGAAGACTTCCTGTAATCATTCCACAAAATAAAATGATAATCCATATAGTCATAAACCAATATAATTACCTAAAAATAATCCCTTCGTTTTTTTGTTACATAAAAACTACTTCAGTACTTCACACTCATTTTATGGAGGCAAAGGCAGAATGAACGGATTAATAAATTATGCAATGAAATGTAAACTTAAAGCAAATCCAGATCTGAGACCATTAATCAAATGAATAACGGTTTATAAAAATCACATCCCACACTTTACAGTGTGGTTTTGGACTCAAACGACCACTTACATAACAATGATGCGTGATCAAACATCTACATTTATGGACACAAGCAAAAGAGTATTTTTGAAAAATGTGGTGAGGTAAAAAATAAAGTTTAAGGAGATGAAAAAAGAAAGTTGGAGGACAGAGAAATGAGGGGGGGATAGGATGATGAAGATGGGATAGGTGAGAAGCGAAAGAAAGACAGCGAGTGACTGGTGAAGGTCAAAACGCTTTATCAGCGGACACTGTTGATTTTGGTAACCATCAAGTCCTGTTTACTTTTCCTGTGGCCTCGGGCCAGCACCCTCCCTATTAATGACAGTGATTAGATGCGTCAGTGCACCACCAACGGCTGCATCCCCCTAATATCGCCCATGATCCTGCAGCAGCCTTGAACTCCAGGACAATCACATCTGCTTGGTATCTAAAAGCCATCTGGGTCCACAAAACCCCCCTAAGTGCTACACATGCCGTGCCAGACTCCTACACGTGTCCAAACTAGCCACAGTCACAAAACGTCAAGATATTTTGACATTGACTTGGTTGATTTGGATGTAGATCAGATATTTAGTAGAATGTTAATAGATTATTAGATTATAATAGATTAGTATTATGATCAGTTATTATAGTTTTGCATCCAACATGGTTAGGACACGGTGTTATATTACTTTTTTTTTTATTTCCTCATTCATTCATTCATTCAACCACCATATAACCGGTCAGACATATTTTAAACACTTTTTAACGCTTGATTGTCAGTTTGCCTTCAATTCATTAAAACCAAAATGGAACTTTAATTTCATTCTCATAATTTAAAGGGATAGTTCACCCAAAAATGAAAATTCTGCCATTAATTACTCACCCTCATGTTGTTCCAAACCCGTAAGACCTCCGTTCATCTTCGGAACATAAATTAAGATATTTTTGATGGAATCGGAGAGCTTTCTGACCTCCCATAGACAGCAAGGGTCCTTACATGATCAACATCCAGAAACGTAGCAAGGAGATCGGTAAAATAATCCATGTGACATCAGGTGTTCAACCGTAATTTTACAAATCTACGAGAATACTTTTTGTGAGCAAAAGAAAAAAAAAACGACTTTATTCAACAATTCGTCTCCTCCGTGTCACCTTAACGCCATTTTGAAGAGTATCAACTGAACGTAAATTGCGTATGCTGTTTTGTGTCAGCTGTGCCACGCGGATATGTTGTTTTCGTTCAAATCAAAGCGTAAATGGCGTAAACAGCGTATCCGCGTGGCAGTGTGGTAAATAATGACTGAATTTTCATTTTTGGGTGAACTATCCCTTTAAAATCATAACATTGCCATTATGTCTAATATATGAAGATATTTTCTTGGAACAACCTTTTTTTTAATAATATGATCAATTGTGTCAGCGCCAATAGCCTCGTGGGCAGCAAGCCGACTTACAGCGCCATTGAGCTTCGGGCGTCCTGAGTTCGAGTTTCGCCTCGCGAACCTTTCCCAATCCCCCGCCCCCTCGCTCTCTCCCACTTCGCTTTCGGTCTAAATACTTAAAATGGCAAAAAATTTAATCTTTAAATTAATGGTCAATTGTGATCTCACATTTACTATCATTTTAGATATTGCCTTAAAGAGTTGCTGTTGTCTTAAAGTCTGCGTAAAGCAATATTAAATGTGTTCCGAGTTTGTCACACCACAGATAAATGTGTTATTAACCACCCAGCCAAATGATAAAATAGCCAAGTAAATAAAATAAGTTATTAAAATCTTGAAAAAATACACGCCTAAAACGCGTGACCGCTGTCTGCACTGAAACCACACCCACTGACAGGAAAGCTGCCACCTCTCTCAACTGTTAAATACCGCTACAACCTGAACCAACCAGGTAATATGCATTTACGTGACGAAGGCATAGCTAACTAGCAAACTGTAGGCTGTAGTAAATAACGGTAAAGACAGTAACTCGCGATCGAGCGGGCAAACCACTGATGCTAATGCGCTCCAGTTATTATAGTGTTAGGGACAAAAAATGGTGAAAAACTGTTTAATGGTCTAAATCCACAATTTCACAGTCTTTGTAATGTGTTTTCAGCAATATATTTCTAACATTCATAATGTGTTTAGAAACGATTCTTTGAATTGCCTTTACACAGATTTTAAATCAAAAGTATTATTTACATTTTACTGAGCAAGTAGAGTTGATAATAGATATCTCTGTGACATTCTATTGATTTTTATTTGGAAAGCAGGTGTCCTAGTGCAGCTGGGGACAGTAAAGAAATGAGTACCTAGTTCACACATCACTCCCACCAATCAGGTCGGCCGGAAGCATCTGTGTGGGAGGGGTTAAACTGGGAGAAGAGAAGGATAAAGCGCTATATAAATAAAGGTGACTTGACTTGACTTGACTTGATAGAGAGAGGGTGGAAAAGAGAAAGATAGAAGAAAAGAGGTAGGGAAATGGAAAAGGAATGAGGGTTGACAAAAAGAACGATAGAGGAGACAGGCATTAATTAGCAGCCAAAATACAAATCACAAGCCATTTTGCCACAAACATTTCTATTTGATTATTCAAAGTATGTTGTTTAATTAGCATGTTGATATTTTGAATGTGCTTGCCTATAAGCAAAGCTTAAACAAATATCATCAGTTTAAAACAAGTTAAGCTCTACCAACAACATTTTTAGCATGCAGTTGATTGCCACAGACAATTATTTGTACTCATCCTTGTACTCGTTTAAACCGGGCTTGAATTCTGAAAACTTTCACAGACAGAATCAGTGATTCATCACTACCACGTCTTCCCTTTTCACGAGAACTCAATTAGAATGGAGGACCTGAATCAGCAGCGAAATCTGTGTGGGAATTTTTTTTTGTCTCAAAATATTCCTAAACTGATTGGAGTTTGTGCGCAAAATTTGCTGAATAACAGTAAATGTTACTGCACATGAAGACCCAATCTCAAACAGCACCTTATGGACCTCCTCATGCGAATCTACTCTTTGCCACATGGAGTTATGGGTAAAATCATGTCCTCTGCACAGTTGTTGTGAAGTAGAAGCTTGGGCATCCTTCTGAAACTGAAAGTGACTAAATATATGACTAAAACTAAATGGGATCTTGTCTGAATGCTGCACCAAATGATCTGGCAGACAAATGTTGAGACATTCATTTAAATAAATAAACTCTGAATATATGAACTTGAGCACATTTTCTTAAAATAATTCCACTGATCAGAGATATCTGGCTGTGTGTTGTCTACATGTGTACAACAGTGTGTGTGTGTCTGCCTGTGGGCACGTAGACAAACAAAGTGAGCCGTCAGTTTATATCAACATTCAGCTTTACTGCTGTTAGTCATGACCCATCAGGTATAATACATGTCCTCGTAATGTGATCATCAGCGGACATTCCAAAACACAGCAGGACAGATCCATCCACAGATACTGCTGTCACACACGGTTTGTCTGAGCAGATTTAGTCCTGATTTCAAACAGAAGCAGATCCATTTGATTACATGACAGGCAGCTAAACAACAAATCCAACAACTCAAACTTCACAAACAAGGCATCCACGCAGATCTGGCAAGAGCCTGAGGTAAAAAAAAAAAATTCAGGGCCACAAAAATATTTGGCTAACTGAGGTGAGCTGGGTATGTAATATCAATACTGGACTTCAAAATAGAAACCTTAAACCTGTCCTGGAGATCATCATCTCACTGGGAAACAATTATTACTGGAGCAAGACTAAACCACCAAACTCAAAACAGCTTTAGGACACCATGAGGAGGAGATTTAAGGAAGAACTTGAGGTGCTTTAAAGATTGTGAAGAGACAACAGACTTTTATTGTGGGAAGAAAACTCCAGACAGAATGTTTTGTAATATTCCCACAACATTGTCTGTTGCTGTACTGGTGACTAGCATGTGAAGCACATACTTCATTTTGGTCACCTTTAACAATCCCATTATCTCATAATTACAGCTTACTGATGTTTAAAAGGTTAAACCTAGACATCCAACTTCTTCCAAAGCACATATATTATAGGTAGGGATGCACAATATTATCGGACTGATATCGGAATCGGCCGATAATGGCTTTAAATGTAAATATCTGCATCGGCCCGATATGAAACATTATGCCGATACTGTATGTCTTGCCGATAAGAGGAATACCTTAAACCCACATGTGCTCAGGGTGTGCTAGTGATTAGATCATGTCAGCAGTATGGCTCATTCTTGAAGCAAATTTTTGTCTGAATGATGATTAGATTGATTGTTTTGGATCGCTGCATTTAATCTGTGAAAGCACGTACAGAATGACGTGTTCGGTGTATGATAGAGTAAACCGTGGCAGCAGCGACAGCCTCCCCCGGGTACTAAAGCCCGTTCGGTAAGGAGTTTTAATCTGTAGGGGGCGCTGTTGGCCTACTTCTAATTAAATTAAAAGTAAAATAGCCAACCAAAATAACATTTAGACTGTGTTTCTGAATAAATGAAGCAGTAATTGATGTCATAAAATAATGAGTATGTTTTGATTTAAAGGTCAGAAGCTATAGCTTACAAAAAAAATCAAACATGACACTTGAAAATTAATTTTATATATACTGATTTTGTCAGACTCTGTTCCATGTTTTGTGTGTGTCCTGCTCCCCATGTGCCTTCCCATGCCCTTATTTGGTTAGTTTCCTGTTCCTGTCCTGATTAGTTTATTTCATTTGTCCCAGGTGTTTCCCTTGGTTTTATTGCTCCCAGGTGTGTCTCGTCATCCCCTCCTCCTGTGTGTGTGTATAAAATGTGTTCCCAGTCCCAAGTTCTCGGTCCGCTGTTGTACGTCTACCTGAGAACGTCTTCCTGTGTTCGTCTCCCTTGGTTCCTCGGTGGTTCATGCAAATAAAGTCCTGTCAACATATTCTCCAGCGTCTCCTCGTCCCTCGTGTGTGTGCAACGTGACAGATTTAGCGATTGATTCATAGTTTATTTAGGCTATAGTTAAAGCTTCAATGTACTGTCAAAAAACATTGTTGTTTATTTAATTCTAACAAATAAGTTCTTGTTAAAAACCAACCAAAATTAAAAATATTTTGCTTATAATTTCTGCACAGGAGAGACTTGGTGTTGTTTCCAAACAAAAGGAAATATATCGGTATCGGTATCGGTATCAGTCAAAATGAGTTGAAAAATATCGGCAAAATCCAATATTGTGCATCCCTAATTATAGGCAAAACACACTGAGCCCATTTCTGCTGCAGCCTTTATGAGGAAACATCTGCTAGTCAGACGTTTGGTCGTGAAGGCCACTGAGAGCGATTGACAGAATATGACAGTTCATTGCATACACATTTAGTATTATGTGAATGTTAAAAGTTTCACTTGTCTCATATGGGAATTCAGATGTGTCAAACTCAGTCACAAAGACAATTCATACATAGTATGTGTGACTTAAGTGTCCAGATACTTTTTTGGGCCACTGTATATTTTTCTGAGAAGCCAAAAGTATGTGCAATACAAAACATTTGGGCTTTCCATAAGATCCATAAATATTAATTTTTTTATGTTCACCAAAGCTGCATTTATTTGATCAAAAATAAGGTAAAAGCAGTAATAATGTGTAGTAATAATTATTCAAATTTAAAAGATCAGTTTTCTATTTTAATATTTTTAAAATTTAATTTATTCCTGTGATGGCAAAACTGAATTTTCAGCAGTCCTCAGGATTCTTTGATGATTAGAAGGTTAAAATACAGCATTTATTTGAAATATAAATCATCTTTTAAAACAAATTATAAATGAAGTAGAGACTATCTTTACTGTCAATTTAATGTGTCCTTGTTGAAAAAAAAAATCAAATTTCTTGAAAAAAATTAACTAAAATGTTGACACCACACTTTTGAACGGTATAATGTTGTTGTTTTTTCCCCATGATCAAAGGTCAACCATCCAATGTTCATGGAACTGAAACGAGAGCTGGGGGCTGTTTCATATAAAACAAGTTTACCAAATAAGCCAGGTTTATTTCAGTTTGGGTGCTTTCACACTTGGTTCGCTTGCCTGGTCCGAACCCGGGTTCGATTGCTCCCCGCTCCCCCTGCCCCGCTGGACTGCGTTCATATGATTTTATTTGGGTCCGAACCGCGTTTCGTTTGCGTCATCAAGCCAGCAGCTGTTTACCCCGTTGCTTAGTAACGACGGCGCAGGAGAAGGCGGCAAATGCATAACATTGCTCTCTGCACTTTTATATATTTACGTTTTTGAACTTTTCGTTTTGTTTCCAAAGCTTCAGTACATAATGGCACTTACATCTGTCTTACGAATGTACTGCAAATGCTCTAAAGAACGCTGAAGGCAAACAGAAATTAGATATACAGCTCTCGGTTTTCAGTGCGTCAGTCACGCTCGTCAGGAAAGTGAGTGAAACACACACACAAACACACATTTTTATCAAATAATACGTCATTAATAGCGGTTCACTTCCACGATTTGGTACGATTGCGTTCACATCAGCAGCGAACCGTACCAGAGTTCACATGAACCATACCCCAGACCACCCTTTTTAAGTGGACCCGGGTACGGTTCGCGGGTGCGCACCCGAGTTCGGAAGACAGCGTTCACATCATCCAAACGAACCGAACTCTGACGTCAATCGAACCCGGGTGCGCACCAAAAGTGCTAGTGTGAAAGCACCCTTAGTCTGACTTCTTTTGTCAGTTGATTTGGTTCAAAATAAGTCAGACTAACTGAAATAAGCCTGGCTTATTTGGTAAACTAGTTTTATGAAACAGCCCCCTGGTCTGACAATCAATCCAGAGACTTGATTGAACTAACTAGTTCTCTGTCATTAGCTTGTTTAGAGGAACTTGTCATTCGTGACAAATAAAACTCATCAGATTTTACTCACATTCTCAAACTCCGCATTTATACATTCCCAAACTTCCTCTCAAGTCTTGCTAAGATCATGCTGAATAATGTGACTTACTCTTCCCTGAGTCAAAGGTTTTAAAATTAGGGTCCAAGAAGCCCCTAAGTGTCCACAAGAGGGTGCTACAGAGAAAATAAAAATCTTACAAAACATATTTTAACAGTAAGAAATATGATGTGCAAGGTACATATAAATAGTCAATATACACTTTGCATCTTTCAAGGGAATTGTTATCGCTACTGTTGTCCTTAACTCACTCACTGGTTGTCTGGCACTATTGTCAGCTTTCGGTTTTTAATATTTATTGGGAAAATTGCTGTAGAACTAATTCTGGCTTCAACCGGAAATGTTTCTGTAATATTATAATATCAGATAGAAAAAAAACATTTTGTACTAAAAATATAACTGTACCTTAATATAATATAACTAAATATTCTTCAAATAATATTTGAATAATCTGTTCTGTTTTGGCTTTATTGTAATATTGTATATTGTTCATAAGTAAAACGAGAAACTATTTATACAATAACATTTAACAAAGAACATTAAAACAATATTTTTTTCTTCATAATCATTCACATTCACTAATTTCAGTGTTGTTACGGTTAACTAAAACAGACTATTAAAATAGTTATCGGTAATTAAAATAAAGGAATACAATATAAATATTAGATGAAAACTTAAATTATTAAATGTTGCAAAACAAATTGAAATCAGCAGAAGTAGGCTAGTTAAATTATGAAAAAAAAATATGAATGAAATGCACGACAAAATTACAAAAACATGAACTAAATTAAAATGAAAACAGAATGTATAAATATAAAAGCCAATTCAAAGTGGTAATAATTTTTGTAATAGTATATAAACAATGAATAACACTTATAAAAACATTTATATTTGTTGTTCTTTGCCATTAAAACGTAATCATTTGCCCTCAGTCATCATTCTTCATTAACACTGAAATTTTTCAAATAGTATAAATGAATCTGTATAAACTATTATATAAATTACTTTATATTTGTTGGTCTTGCCATTAAAAAGTAAAAAAAATAAAATAAATAAACCTGCGGTCATTATTCTTGTTTTTCACTTAAATTACATGCCTGGTTCCCCCCCAGAAAGAGGCGACCTTTCCACACCCATGACAACACATTCTTCCTTACCAGCTAATTCACTCAAATATGCGGTTTAATTAGCCCTCTCAGTGGTGAGGTGAGATTAGTGACAATAGCACTGCACTGTAGGAGCCTGACACCACAGGACAGTTGCCCAGGGTCCTGCGAGAGGAGGAGATTTATGCATCACAGCACACATCCACAGGGGAGTGCAGGTCAAACTATTGAGTTTCTGTGCAGTGAATATCAAAGAATTACAAATTCCTTTAGAAATGAATATATCTACTGGGTCTCTTGGATGCACATCAATTAAACACAAAGGGACCCCACGGGAAAGAAGGGGGCATTTGACTCAACAGGGGGATCTGAAGAGCTTCTGTCAGCAGAACAGTGAGGGCTTGAATCTAGTCTGCCCCAGATTTACTGTAGCACAGCAACGCAAATTTATAGAGGTGTGTATCAAATAAAAGATCTCAAGAGGTGTGGCACGATTAAATGGTGTTCAGTAAGAACAGGCTGATTGAAGTCAAAATAACAGTGTTTTAAGTCTGAACTTCACTAAATGAAACTTTAAAGGAATAGTACTAGAAATGTACTCACTCTCAGGCCATCCAAGATGTATAAGTTAATTTCCTCATTGGAACAGATTCTGTGAAATTTAGTATTACATTACTTTCACACCAATGGATCCTCTGGGTGCCGTCAGAATGAGAGTCCAAACAGCTGATAAAAACATCACAATACAACATCACAAAAGTCTTATGAAGAAACAGCGGTGTGTCTGTAATAAACAAACCTCAAAGACTAACTTAAAGTTCTCTATCCACAATATTTCTTTCTCCAGTAAAAAATCTTAAACAAGAGAGAAATATGCACAATATGTCAGTGGATTCTGATGTGAGAGTACAACAGAGGATGGACTTTTAGAGTGGAGGAACAAGCATTATTATAGAATATTGGCTTTAAAGTTAAAATGCCTTGACGGATTTGTTTCTTACAAACACACAACTTTTCGCTTCACAAGATGCTGTTTGATGGACTGGAGTCGTGTGGAATACTTGTGGATTATTGTGATGTTTTTATCAGCTGTTTGGACTCATTCTGACAGCACCCATTCACTACAGAGGATCCCCTAGTGAGCAAGTGATGTAATGCTAAATTTCAGGTAAACTTTAGTTAAACAAATGTTCATTTTTGGGGGAACTTTAACTGTGGAGGAGAGAGCTTAAAAAAAATAAATATAAAGGGTAAACTTTATAGACTGAATCAAACAGGTTATAGATCCATCTGACAAAAGAGACACTTACAAAAGCCACTATCTTGTGACAAAAAAAGGCACCATCAAGGACATTGTCAGCCAAATTTTAAAAGACATGCGGTCAAGATCATGTGACCTGGGTTGTCTGCTTTCCATGTAATTTTTTAAGGTCAACCACACATGAAATTCAAAGCAAGTCACTAAAAAGGGCATCGCACACTGAAGCAAAATACAGTTCCAATATATAGTTAAATCAGTTCAAATGCAGTTAAATCACCCTCTGCCTAAATGCTGTTGTTTCAACATTATGGTAGGCCAAGGGTCATTCTCAAAAAATGTTGAGTTTGTCATACAAAATGCAGAAGTTATGAATGCATTGCAAATTTTTGCCTATAAAAGCTGATGGCAAGTATTTAACATCATGATGACTTCATTATCATTTGATGTGATGAAAAACCACCAGTGATCATTTCTCATAAAAGATGAATTTTATGATAGTAGCAAATAATTGTTTAAAAATGCGTAAAAAATAGCCAAACCATTTGTTATTCCTTCGGTACATACTAGGTTATGATGTCTTTTATGTGGTCTCTTTCACATCTGAAACTAGTCAAGGGACACGTTTGTCACTCTATACTGACAATGACCCATAAGCAAGAGGAGGCAGGAATGACTGTGGGAACATTCTTTTTAAGGGTCACACCCTGAACAGATTCCCACACAACTTACTTCAATGTACACTTTACTTCTAAGGGGTGTCACAAATGATACGTGTGCTCTGTGCATTTTTGTGAGGTGTTATAATAGCAGATATGTCAAGTATACGCATAAAGTATAAAATTGCAACCGTCACAAATTTACTTGTCATGCATGTCAGAAGTAGCGTGAGCACTTGGAGTATGTCAGAAATAGAACAGGACATCAGTTTACTGTTGGGGTTTTGCCGCACCTCATCCAAAATCACTGATTATAATGGATTCTCTTTTGTTGCATCGCATCATTCGCATCTACTGTCAACACAGTGTTAGCTGAAAGCTCAAACCCGTTTTGTCTCAAATGTCATTAATGGTCACACACTTCTGCTCTTTGCTAAAGAACATATTGTTTCAAGCAATCTTTGTCTCAACCTTGATTTGGCAGTTATTAAGAGCACTGACTCATCTAATTATGCAAACTTAAAAGAAAGAAAAAAGAAAATTACACAAATCCCGTTAAATGGAGTTAAATCTGACAAATTGCCTTATGGGATATAAAAAACTGAAAGGGTGAGGTTTCTCGGATGAGAAACCAGTGACATAAGAGAAATGTTTCAAAGGAAATCCTCGCAATTTGCATTACTGCAAACCAATAGGTTATGAATTATGTACACAGTAAATTTTGCAGTGTTAAATTAACTCTATAAGAGTTGAATTTAACACTCGGCCCGAGTGTATTTGGTCCCACTCAGAATTGGTGATAAATTGACTCTTGTCATAGTGTTAAATTTTCAGAGTTAAATTAACTCCATTTTGAGTAAAAAATTAACACTGCTCAACACTGAATAGTGTTACCAGAGTTTAACACTAGGGGAAATTAACTCTGTTCTGTGTTACCACAATTTAACTCTGCAGGAAAATTTACTCTGATTAGTGTTAATATTTCACTTATGTAGAGTTCATTTACATTTATAATAGAGAAAAATTATCTAATTTTAAAACCCATTTGGTGTTTTAAAAACAGAATAGAAAACAAGATCAACGACGTCACATTTAAAACATTTATTAAAAAATGTTGTCAGGCTCAAGAAACATACACATACATGCACAAAAATACATCACGTCTGCATGAAATGACAATACATCATTATATTCAGTACAGAACCTGTTGAACCTACTAGCTAAGCAGCCTTGCTCTTAACCTCAGCGATACAAGGACCTTCACTTTGCCAACATCTTTGTTGTACACAGTGGTCTGAATGAAAGTGTACACTCCTTAAGAATAAATGGAGTGTAACTGCTTAATTAACACTGTCAATTTTACTGTGTAAGTACCATAATGATGATTTATTGAAAGGATCAACCTCAATCAGAGGCCAATAGGTGCAATTCATAGGTTGTTATTAAATACAACTTTAGAAACTACAACTACAGAAAATCTTAAAAGGAACCTTTTTTTTTTTAAAGGATTTACTCACCTTCACGATGTTCCAACCCAGTGTAACTTTTTCTTCTGTTGGTTTGGTTACCAACATTCTTCAAAATATCATCTTTTATATTCCACAGAAGTAAATAAGCCATACAGGTTTGGAATAACATGAGGGTAAAAAAAAGGCAGATTTGAAATTTTTGGGGTGAATTAAATACAATACAGATGACCAAAAAAAAAAAAAAACTTTTTTGAACCGTTATGTGAATTCACTGCTGCCAAACTAGAAAAAAAAAAAAAAACCCAACTACAAAGATTCTTATTTAAATCAACAGCCTGTACACGCTCATTCTGTAAATGATAAGAAAAGCACCTTATAATGCAAATGTTTGCTCAAGAAAAATGGAAAGAAACAGAAAAAGAGAACAGAGAAACAGAATTGGTTTGAAAAAGACTGAAATAGCATAAGCGTGAACAAGAGTGATGCCATTTTTTTTTCCCGCTTCACGGGACTAAATCCCATTTTGTGAGTGATCAGATGACTGAGAAAAACTTCAATACCCTCTTGTTTTCCAGTGGCGTGTTAAGGTTTTGTGACTGTCAGCCTGCTGGTTTGTTAACATGCTCTCTCAGCTTCACCATTTAATTACATGGTTCTCACTTACACACAGTGAGACTTACAGTTATGAGAAATCAATACAGTTAATTGGCAATTTCTTAATCCACTTCTTGGCATGATTGGATTGTGAAGAGGAACTTGTGCTGACAAATGCTGATTCAAACTAACAAAAAAGCAAGAGGAAAACAAAAAAAGCGTTATTTACAGCCCTCTATGCACAAAAGCTAATTAAAACACATTTATTAATGTATCATAGATGAGAAATACAACTATTAGGATCCACTGCCTTTAACTTCTCTGTACAATATTTAGGCAAGTCTAAACAAAGCACAACAGATTTGTTTAAGCAAAACATTCCACTCAAAAGAGTCTTCTGCTGTTTGACAGCCTGTGCTGTAAAATACAGCTGCCACAATCCACTCTGTGTTCCTCTGAGCTACATCTGTTTATCTAAACTGTTTATGCAATCCTGGATGTCTTTCAGTTTATATAATATTAAAGGAATGGCTCAAACAGAGAAGAATCAATTCTGTTCTCAGAGACATTCGTTATCTTACGCAAATGGGATCAAACTGCCCACTTATCAAAAAATACACTGGCGAAATACTGTCATTATTGGCATCTAGGTGGAGATGTCACTGACCAGACAAATCCCAAAAGTCATAGTTCATACAACACCACATGAATGGACATTTCAGGCATCATTTACACAAATACCCAAACCCACTTACACTGTCAATGACTCGTAAGCAAATATCAAAGAACAGAAAAAACAAATGAATCAGAAAGATGGAGAGGTTGGCTACAGATGCCCTTTATTCTATCTATGCATAGCTACGAAGGTTGGCATGTTTTGCCATTCATCCTGCAGCATTCTCTTAATGTTTGAACAAATGATTTCCATGACATTTCCAGTCATTCATGACTGCTGGGTAAATTCATTTCATAGAGATTGCTGAGGAAAATTTTAATTTGTATGTCAGGTAGCAAGTTTCTATATTAACTACTGAACAATTGTGCACATTACTGTAAAAATGTTTACAATGTACTAATTTTTCCAATGAGACCGTCAACAGACAGGCCCATGTTATCAAGATGGCTTGTGGAAAATTTTGCTCTAGGATCAACATCTTGCTGTATACATTTTTCAGAGCTGAGCAATATTATAAACATACGCTACTGCTCAATAACTACTGCTTTTATTTGCAAGGACATGTTAACTTGATCAAAATTGACAGTAAGGACATTTATAATGTTAGAATATTTTTTTTTTTTTCAAATAAATGCTTTTCTTTTGAAGTTTCTATTCATTCCACACACACACACACACACACACACACAATTAAGCAGCACAGCTGTTCTCAACATTGATAATAAGAAATGTTTCTTAAATCAGCATTTTATAATGATTTCTGAAGGATCATGTGACACTGAAGACTGGAATTACCCTAGAAACGTTTACTAGCCCACATCACCTACCCATTTCCTTAAACGCACTGTAAACCCGAACAGTAATACTAACTTATAAAGATTAAGAACACTGCAATTAAAGTCTGTTAAATCGTTGATGCAACTTATAACAATTACATTTTCTGAACGAGGAATTTAGTTTTATTTTTGTGTGACTCAACAGTTTTGAGTAAACTCTTCTATTAAAATTATTATTTTTAAGTTTACTAAGTGACGTAAAGTGACGTCACCTCGTTGCTCTAACCGACGTTCAGAAGAATCCATTCAACATGGTGGAGACTCGCAAGCGACCGGAGCAAACTTAAAGGGGTCATATGATGTTGCTAAAAAGAACATTATTTTGTGTATTTGGTGTAATGAAATGTGTTTA